TTTCTATGTGCAATTTACTTTGTACAAAATGTGTGGTTTTCAGAGTCTGCCTTCTTACTGTTTTCTTCCTTAGTTGGTGTGCCGAGGTTCCCTTACTCTGAGACACACATTGTCCTATTTCCTTTATTGTTTTATTTCCTGAAACTAAACTCCTACACATTTGTTGTCATGCTTTTACTTCCACAGCAAAAGCGCGTGGGGCTCAGGCTTCACGTCTCCGACAGGGCACGGGGGAGCTGGGGTACCCCTACCCTGTCTCAGGCAGAGAAAGTGTCAGCTTCTTTTCTAGAAGGCCTGAAAATATGATTTGATCCCCCTTGACACAGGAGGTATTAGCAGAGTGTTTTAAATTTCCTAATTAACGTGCATGGGGGGAAGTCTCATTTTATCCCACTTTGCCAGAAACTGTGACCCTTAAGATTTCTGCTGTCAGACTTCTCTGGTAATAAAATGATCAGCCGCAGGGACACTTGGACAATCTGTAGGGAGGTGGCTCAGATGACAGGGGTGGGTTTTCCTCATCCTGCCTGCTTTCCTGATCTAGTCTGGCTCTTTCTGTTCCCGGGATCTGCCTGGAACCTCTATGACCCAGGAACAGCTCTCTAGCCCCCTGAATGGCCTCTTGTCCTGTTCTCTCCTGTGTTTATACAGAGCAGAAATGATGCATCTTGACACTTGGCTTTCGGTGTAAAGAGGCAGACGCCTATTTTGTAGCCATCTCTGGAGTCTGCCAGAGATGGAAGCCAGATGGAAGGGGGGACACTGGGCTCCTGCTTCCTCCTCTTCCTAGCCCTGTCCCTCTGGGCACCTGCCTCTAAGTCAGCACAAGTGCATTTTATCTCCTAAGTGGGCTCAGTCGGGCAGGCTCTGAGGCAAAATTCCAACTGGTCAGTGGGGCCTGGGTTTCTCAAGCAGCCTCGTCCTAGGGTTTTGCAACTTGGGCTTCACCCTCTCTCTGCTGCCTCACTCAGAATTTTCTTTCTTAATGTTTCCTCTTCCTCTTATTCTCTCCACCCCCGGGGCTGGAGTGCAGTGATGGGAATCACAGCTCACTGCAGCCCCCAACTTCTGGGCTCAAGCGAGGCTCCTGACTCAGCCTCCTCAAGTGTGGGGACCACAGACATGAGAGCCACTGCGCCCGGCCTGCTCTGTCGTCGTCTGCGTGGATTCTGTTTCTCATGTGAACATGCATGTGATTTATGAAGGATCTGCTCAATTTTTTTTCTGATACCATTTTCAAGTCTGAGGATCTGAAGACTTTATTCATGATGAAGTAGGACCTTATTAGCTGTATTTGTTTGATGCCAGGGGTGGGGAGGGTCCCCTGGCCCCGAGGGGCTCTCCGAGAAGGAAGGCACAACCCATAGTGGGGACTTGGTGACAGGCGTCATTTCCTGCAGCTGGCTGGGGTTGTGCTGGTGCTTCCCTAGAGGGCAGGGTCCAGGTCAGAGGAGGCTCCCAGTGCAAAGTTCTGCTCAGTCTCCGGGACTTTGGGCCTCCCAGTGGCCTCAGCTTAATGTTCTGCACCTTTGTCTTGGTCAGGACACTACCCTTAGGCTCGAGAAGCCCCTGCAGAAGCCCAGGGTCTAGAGGAGGGGCTGCCCACCCTTGGGTGGCAGGAAAGCAGCTGGGGCCTTTGGGGGTTGTACCACCTCCAAGCCAGGCTCCCCCTGACTCCTGGACCAGTTGTTCCTGCTGGATCAGCTCTGGGGCACCTGTTGCCCTGCTGAGCTGAGGGCCTGTGTGTACCAGTGCTGTGTGCCCTCTGCGTGGTCCCATACCCCTGGGAGCTGGGCACAGGCCCCACCCCTACCTCTGGTCACGCAGGAGAAAGTGAGGCTGAGAGGCCCAGAGGGTTTCAGGCCCCAGGCCTCTGAGGGCCTGTCCTGGCTGCCGGGGCTGGGGACAGGTGTGCTGTGGCCCTGCTCTTCCACACAGAGGGGAGGGCTTAGGCTCCAGGTGCCCAGCCCTGCCTTACCTCCCAGACTGCTAGGTCTTTACCCATCCACCCTACTGAGCTCACAGAGCCACTATTTGTCTGGGCTCAGCATAGATGTCCAGGGCGGGAGTGGGTCCTTGCTCCCCTTTGAAGCCCTACAGCTCCGAGCCTCCCAGGGCTGCTGCCCACAGTGCAACACTTGGTGGGGGAGGTGGCCCCCTAGCCCTGCCTGCTTCCTGTGGTCAGGGTCAGGCCATTGCGGTCTGAGGCTCAGTCCTGCTGTAACCAGGGGTGCTCCCCATCAGCCGGGTATATGCACAGTTGTAATCATGTGCCCAGGTCCACATCCTGCTGCCTGAGGCCTCAGTTTCCCCATTCAAGGATCTAAGGCATTTGCATGCTGGTTGCTGTGAGCATTTGGAGGGCAGGAGGGCATCCAGGCTATGGCCAGATAGGGTGGGCCCAGAGTGAACTGAAACCACCTCCCCACCTCCACCCACTGCTGTGACCCAGGAAGCCAGGTCAGGGTGCGAGTTCTGCTTTTGAACCTGGAAAGGGAAGGACTATGGGTTCTGTTTTGACATTTCTGGGTTCTGATTGTAATTCTGCTGGGTGCCAAGGAATAAGGTCACCCCCAAAAGACAGTGACTTGGGGCTGGTTAGGGCCTCTAAGCTGCAGGAATCCCCAACATCCCTTTGGCCCAGAGTATCTGGGTGCAGATGTGGGGATGGGGTGAGGGCAGGACCCGGGGGGAAGGGGTGCACCTAAGCCTCCTGTCCATAGCACAGGAGCCAACACTGTCCTCTGCTCCAACAGGCCTTGAGTTGGGCTCCACTGGCCTGGGTCTGCCTCTTAGCTTTGGGCCCCCTGGTAGGGGCAGGGCACCCTTATAAGAGCAGTTGGCACTGGCCTAGGGAGCCTCTGAACTTTGTTTCTGATAACAGCCCAGGGCAAAAATGACATCACTTCTTACCACTGCCTCCTGGGGACTGCTGCTTCCCAGCCTCTGTTGCCACTAACACCTGGGTTGAAGGGCAGGTGGGTATGGGGCAAGAAACAAACAGCCAGTTCCCCAGAAGAGGGGTGGGGGTAGTCGGGCAGTCAGCTGATCCTGCATGGCTTACCCTTCCTGGGAGTTCAGGGCAGACATCATGCACAGTCGGCGTCCGTGATGTCAGGGTCTGTTTCCTATCCTGGCCCCACTTCTGCTGCCACCAAGAGACCAGCCCAAGTGAGTCACTGCCCTGGGCACAGATTCTATTCACAAAGGCAGAGAGTGCTAAGCACATGTAAGTGTCGTGTGCGCATGTGTACACAGGTGTGGTGTGTGCCTGTGTGTGGTGTGTGCCTGCGTGTGGTGTGTGCCTGTGTGTGGTGTGTGCCTGGGTGTGGTGTGTGCCTGTGTGGGGTGTGTGCCTGTGTGTGGTGTGTGCCTGAGTGTGGTGTGTGCCTGTGTGTGGTGTGTGCCTGGGTGTGGTGTGTGCCTGAGTGGGGTGTGTGCCTGGGTGTGGTGTGTGCCTGTGTGTGGTGTGTGCCTGAGTGTGGTGTGCACCTACATGTGGTGTGTGCCTGGGTATGGTGTGTGCCTGGGTATGGTGTGTGCCTGCGTGTGGTGTGTGACTGGGTGTGGTGTGTGCCTGTGTGTGGTGTGTGACTGTGTGTGATGTGCGCCTGCATGTGGTGTGTGCCTGGGTATGGTGTGTGCCTGGGTGTGGTGTGTGACTGTGTGTGGTGTGTGCCTAGGTGTGGTGTATGCCTGT